CAATACCAGCAAATGTAAGTGAATCAAGTGTTTCAAAGTGCAGTTGATTCAAGCTTTTCATCTCAGTTGGTGAATACGAGCCTAAAGCTAATGACAAAAAATCTTGAGTGAACTCGCTTTCTACCGGGTTGACTGAATCTAATGAGAATTCGACTAAAGGTAGTGAAAACTCGATGAAAATATTAATCGTACAATATATATATTATGTATATTTTGCGTACAAAAATTAAAAGTTATGGTGAAGATTTTGTGTTTACAATTTATGCAACTCTCCAACTGAAACTCAAGTCAATATCGTATTATCTCGAATAAATCAGTGAATTGTGATTAGAAGTTACAGGATGTAACGCGTAAAAAGTTTAAATTATCTTAGATTGATAAGAATGAAGACAAAGATGACAATGATAAGAATGTTGCCGGACAGAGAAGAAAACACAAAATGGACATTCTTATCTTCGTCTTCATTCTTATCAATCCAACAAGGGAAGTTACCCAAGTGTCACTCCTGGATTTTGATGTTTGATATCTCATTCAATAGGGCCAAGGGGTGGGATAAACGGGTTAATTGGTTTCGTCTGCGAGTTAATCCTGGTAGTGCTTTTTCCTCTTCATTCAGTCTATCTTCTAACATTCATCAATTGTGTTGTCTAACTGAAGACGGTTCCCGGTGTAATCGAGTTGCTGGTAATGCTTCCTACTCTAAGCGTATCCAAAAGACTGCTCAACAGAAAAAATTACGACTAAGCATAGACAATACAGCTCGTCACGTTTACATTTGTGACCACCATAAAAATATGATACAAAGTGTGCGGAGCTGTGTGAAAAGAAAAGAAAAGACTCTTGTGAAGATGAGAATGGAACCAACTCCAACGACTGTTACTCTTTTGCTGATCGATACCTAAGATATTTGGGTTTAAAATTTGCAATTTTTGATTAATTAAAATTAAATTTTTGTAAAAAAGTGAGGCTGCGGTGGCGCAGTGATGAAGTATTTTAAATTAATTTCAAGGTCATTTTTTACTTTTTCCATATTTTTTGATGAATTATTGATGATTGATGGAAAAATGGATGAATGCTTTCTTTGCTTTTTTTTTGCTCTCCTTTGTTCGAGGTAACAAAGGCCTTTGTTAAGGTTAAAGTTTGTTTGCTCCCGAAACTGGTTTGGGCATAGTAACGGTCATTTTTAGTCAGTTGAGTTTAAACATTTGTTAAATAGTGTTTAAATGAACTTTATTGATCAAGGAATCAATACAAACTAAAGCTAAACTTAGTAAAATCTTAATAGTAAAACCAAGGATATGAATGGACCCAACAATCAGTTGTAAATTGTAAATGGTAAAAATGAAAAATTCTAATTGTTCACAAACTAAGACATATTGTTATGTTTAACAGCCACCCTTGAATTGTTAACAATTCAATCTTAAAGATGATTGAGTATCTGTTTCAATAGCTTGATAAATCTTGGTCCATGTGATGGTTTCGTTAATAAGTCTGCAATATTACTTTCAGACGGAATATAGTCAAGATCGATTTGCCTGTTTTTTATAGCCTCTCTTATGAAATGATATTGAATGTCAATATGTTTGGTACGAGCATGAAATACAGGGTTCTTAGATAACTTCAAAGCACCTTGGTTATCACCCAATAATTTAACCGTTTCATTGTTATTGTTTTTGTTCAGAAATTTTTTGACCTTTTGAGTCGCTAAAGCACTTGTCTGATCGACCAGAGTATCATTTTGTTTCAGATTCAATTTCCTGTGATATTCTCCAACCACTCTACTTTTAGCAAACTCGTAATCAAATTTCATCGGAACCAAACTGAGATTCGAGCGAGACAATTAGATTTTCATAATCTGAAGGTAAACTTTGTAACAATGTTATGACCAGATCATTTTCATCAACATGTTGGTTAATAGATTCTAACTGTTGTTTAATGTCAGTTATCTTGTTAATATGATCAACCATATTGTCCCCATTGTTGTATTTAATATTCAATAACCTTTTACGAAGATATAATTGATTAGCCAGACAAACACGTTCAAAGTGGTTTGTCAAGTTCAACCAAGCTTAACTCGGATCGGTCGTTTGTCTGATCAAACTTAAATTTTGATCATCAACATTCAAAGCAATAATTCTGACGGCTTTCCTTAAGCGTTGATTGAAAGAGCCTCTTTGGTTTTCTTCAACTGTTTCAATCTTCACCGGTAACAATATCCCATAAATTGTGTTCCTCTAATATCAAACGTATTTTGAATTTCCAATTAGCCCAATTTTGATCATTGAGTTTGTCAATCAAAGTTAACTTGATGTCTTCCATGATAATAAATATGATAAGCTTAATAAATCAATATCAATAAACACTGACCAACACAATTGATTGACCACAATCAGAAGCAGGCTGAGCCCATAACCTGTTAAATAGTGTTTAAATGAACTTTATTGATCAAGGAATCAATAGAAACTAAAGCTAATCTTAGTAAAATCTTAATAGTAAAACCAAGGATATGAATGGACCCAACAATCAGTTGTAAATTGTAAATGGTAAAAATGAAAAATCTAATTGTTAACAAACTAAGACATATTGTTATGTTTAACAACATTGAATTGTGTTCCACGTGTTTTGTGTCAATTGTGTGTACAACATCTTCTTTTCCATTTAAACTAGTTTCTTTTCATTTCATCATATCAGTTCCAAATTTTCATTAATTGTATTATAAATTCATCTTTTATGCATCATAATTTGATCTTATTTTGGTCTTGTGTTTATCTTGTGTTGATTTTGTGTTTATCTTGGATCGATCCTTTGATCATCTTTCAATCATCTTTTGCTCATCTTTTAAATAATCTTTTTGTTCATCTTTTGTTCATCTTTTGACCCTCTTCATCTGAAATCGGTAAGTAAAGGACAGTGACAGATTCTGCCTGTTTTTGAGCCAAAGATTTTTCAATGCCAATCGATAGAGGACACTCGACTCTATAAGGAATGTTCAAAACCTTACAGAAAATTTCGGACCTAAGGCCGAAAAACGCGGTCAAAAGTCGAATTTTTAAACAGTATTTTAAATGAAAATTTACTGAAAAAAAGCTTAAAAAGGCTGTTTTCAATGTATTTTTCAACTTTTTATGTACAAATAGTGTCAATAATGATTTGTAAGTTGACAGTATGCGTTCATAAGCTACATATTTGATTCGGTAATCGTGAACTTATTCATTTAATGCAATTTTGTTCTCTCAGTAGCTCGTACAGGGTTACACAATGACAACGCTAATAGCAAAGCTTGTTAATAGAAACAAACCAGGTGATTTCCGCTTTTAATTCATTTTGATTATGATCAAACTGAAGTCATA